TCCAATCTTCAATTCAATCTTTATACATCTTAAACAACCATAATCACTAAGATAAATAACATGCAACAATAACAATGTTACAAATTTCACCTTAATTAGTAAAATCGTCTCAAAAATAATATTCATTTAATCTAATGGCTAAATTTTCTATTTCTAGATATCAAATTTCAACGACGTTAGCTTAGAAAAAAAGTATTTAAATGGGATTAGTAATAGTAAATTATGATATTTTTCAATGAAGGGTCAATGACTGTTATGATACCATAAACGAGATTAGTCTATGATTTAGTTGATCTAGATATCTGTGACAGGATCAAAAATAAATTATATCAATTAACATTTTTAAATTGTGTTAAATATTTGAAGGAAGAGTTTTATTATCCATAATAATCTTATCTAACTCAAGCACAATCGTCCTTAATAAAAATACCACAAAAAATTAACCATTTTAATTGGCACAAATTTGCTTATATTTTAGATCAAAGAGAGTATATTATTGGAGACTTGGAGGAGTGTTAGTAACATTTTTTTAACATACTATTTTGAACATATTTTCTCTTATTAGTTGAAATTTTTAGAAATAATAAAATAATAATATAGAATCATTAAATAAGTTGGATTTAATTTTAAATATGACATTAAAAGAAATAACCTTAATACAATATTAAAGTTTTGAGGGGGACTAATTTCTGACGAAGTTGATAAATACTCCTTCCAATACCATGATAAAAATAAAAATAAAAAGTTGCAAGCCCCAAAGAATTTTGTAACTTTTGATCAATATATTTCAACTAATAAAAAAATTATGTTGGAGAATGTATTGCTTATATTTCTCATATTATTAATATGCTTACGAATGCATTTAGTTGATAGGAAAACATGAGTGTCTTGTGTCTTCACAATAAATTAAAGATATAATTTTTTAATAATTAATAATTTTAAAAATAAATCAGTGTTTCTTATTATTATGATAAAAAAATGCACCAATATTTTTTTATATAAAAAGGAAAGGTTTGTAGGAATAATTATTATAAGATATAACGTTACTAGTTATTGTTTAAAGATAAATAGTAAAGGAGGAACAATCAAATTAGTCCATGAGAACTCTTGAAAAAGTTACTTTATTTAATAAGCTTTTTTTCATATGAAATTTTATTAATTCAATTATTATTTAAAACTCAAGCTCCATTTCACTAAGGCAGAGCTAATAATCTGAAGGTGGAATTCTTAGCTTTATTGTTTGGACTTCAACTTGCGTGGAGGAAGAGATACTTCTCAATTTTATGTATTTTTGATTCTACGCATGAGTTGGATTTGATTAAGTAGGATGTTCGGAACAATCATAGATATGTGACAATCATTCACCACATAAAGGAGCTTTTAGCTAAGCCTTGGAATATTAGGCTTCTTCATTTGTTGAGAGAAGATGATAAGTGTGCTGATTTTCTTGCTAAATTGGGTTCAAATTCGATTTTGATTTAGTAGAGTTATAAGATCACCCGATGAAAGTTAGAGCCTCAACTCTTAGTTGACGTGAGTAGCATTCCGATTTTAAGGGTGTAATATATTTTGGTGTCTATTTCATTTTGTTTTCAATACATTTCCAGAAACAAAAAAAAAAAAAAAAAGAGAGTTAAGGCTAGTTAAGCCAACCACAAGTTTTTATGAGGGTTGCAATCTAGGAGTGGGAAAAAAAATGAACTGAATTGAATTGGTAATAGACAGAACTCTACTATAAAAAATCAAATTATTTGTGAAAAAAAAATGAGCTGAACTGGTCTAAAAAATGTGAACTGCACTAAATTGTTTAAAAATTGAATTAAACCAAATTATAAAAATTAAACTATTTTTATAAAAAAAAAAGTAAAAATTAAATCTATCTAAAATGGTTCGTCTTAATGGATTAGTCGAATAATCTAACAGAATAGGCTTCAAAAAATTTATCTAAAAAGGTCCTGTCAATTTGGTCAAATTCGATAGGTCAATTGAACCATGTTGGACCATTAATTTTTAGGTTTAAAACCCAAAAAAATTTATTTGGTTTGATATTTTTTTTGTATTTTTTTTAAAATTTAAATAAAATAGAAAATAAAATAAAGTTGGTGAATTGCTTAATAGTTTACGTAGTTTGAATTTAAAGTATCATAACAGTTCAATTTAAAGTATCATAACAGTCTAGTGTAATTCGAATTGCAGATTAATTCAAATTTTCATCATGTAATTCAGTTTAATTTAATAAAATAAAAGAACAATTCAATTCAGTTTGTTTAAACTAATAGTGCAATTCAATTCAAACGAACTAATGTTAAGTTTAGTGTAAATTCTGTTTAGTTCAATTCATTTTGTTCACTCCTATTGCAATCTATAATGGGTTGGACAACAAAACTCAATTTTTATTTGGGCTTCTTAAATAAATTTAAGCTTATGAAAACTTAGTTTTCATGACTCATTTGTGAGCTAAATTTAAATCGGTCCATAGTCACATCCTACTTAAAAATGGCTTAAATTTAAACCCTAGCCAAAGTTGAAAGAATATATAAATCCTATATTTCACTGGGTATGTTTAAATCGAGCAAGTCGCGAAATATTGGGATTCAACTAAAAGTTGTAATTTTTATTCAAGCTTCTAAAATGAGATATAATTAAGTATAATGAAGTCTCAATTTTTATGGGATTTTATGGACTATTCCTAAACAATAATAGAGGTGTCAAATAAGTCGAGTTAGTCAGATCCAACCTGACTTACACGAGACAAATGTTATTTTAAGTTAGGTTAACCTGACCTATATTTTTTTTAGGTTTTTTTTTACCTAATTTAGTCCATGTCAAGTTATCGAGCCGTTGAGCCAAATTAGCCAAATTAAAAAAATATATTTTAAAAAATCAAATATATTTTTTTACAATGAAAAAAAAAATTATAACATGATAAATTTATACTATCATGAAACACCTAATATCGTTACGTGTATACAATTTTTTACAATCATTGCATTTGCATTTATTCATCCATTCAACTAAACCAACTTTTTCATAATAATTTCGTAGCTCAAATATATTAGACTTAATTTTCTTAACCTTTTTAGTATCTTGATCTTTATCATTAATACTTATACTCTTTTTTTTTTGTGCTTTCGTGAGCATAAGCACAAATGTAATTACGTTTTCATTTTCTTTGCAAAACGAAATAGATGAAGTCATCAAGGACACAATGAAAGAGGTATAACTCTCATAACGAATAATCTTAACTCTAAGCTTGTAATCATAACTCTGTAAGCGAATGTAAAAGAGTAAAAGCCTATTACTTTGTTATATTTTATTTTATTCTATCATTTTATAATACATTTACAAATTAATAATAGTTCAAATTATGAGTCTATAAGTCTGCGAGTCAACCCAACTAGAAACTATTTAGACTATTAGACTTGATTAAAATGACTAGATTCTGTTTAGATCATCTTTATTAAGACCTTATTTATAAGTTGACTAAATTGATACATCAAACTGATTGAGTTCAAATTGATAACTCTACTAAATAAAAAAAAATGCCAAATTTAATTCAGGGGCAAGTTTAAATTTTGTCGAATTCACTTTCACCAAACAACCAATTACAATGTCTTCCCCTTTACAACTCCCCCTCTCCATTTTCTTTTGCTCTATTTCATTACACGAAATACAAGTTTTTCAATATAGTTAAAATCAATACCATTCATTATATTTTCTTTCTCCATCATTGGTCAGTACTTTTTGAGAGAAATTTTTTGATGAAGGGACACTACGTGGTTATAGTCCTGACCTTTTTTATATGACACAATAATATGAAGAAATGTCTTAATAATCAAATATTAGAGAAAATAGATTATCATTTCGTTGTTTGAATATTTTTATAACGAAAAAAAGAACCACTTTGTCTCCTACATCCAAACTAAAAGGCAAGAAAATAATATAACAAAATGAAATGCATCTCATCACTAATTTACATAGCATAAACCAAGATTTGACTGCGTTTCCATTGTATTCCATGAATCCAATTCCGCGAGGGACAGAAGACAAGAAAATTTATTACTCCGTTAGTCATGCCGGGTTGAATAATACGTAACACACACATATATATATGGTTCGGTGAAGCACGAAAAATCCTTGGTTTTACACCAAGATTGCATCGTTTTCGGACACAGATCCAAATTGGAAGCAGTCAAGGACCTACTTTACAGTTACTGTACAACAACCACGAACTGTCAAGCAATGAAATGTCAATCCATATTCCATTTACATAGGGAGTCAACACAAGTTTGACCACCCACTACCCATTTCTATGCATTTCCTTCTAATCACTGGGACATACTTGCATTAAGCCATAGCCACTTGCACCGGATGCTAAATTTCACTGTTTAACCCTGCGTAGCTGGAGCCTTCACTTTGTCATAGTTATCAGGGTCTACCAAAAAGCTAGTCTGCCACCTAGATTCTCGCTACGTAACAAGTACTGTGCTGGCTGCACTTCATATCTACCAAAAGGTTCACTCCCCTCAATTATTTTTATTATTATTAAAATTAAAACTAAAATCCTTGTGAAACATGTCCAAAGGAATCAAATTGGTGAAGCATGAGGGTCGGTGCAATGGCGAGAGTTGAGATAACACACATATTTTTATGTTCAAATCCTGATAGTCATTCGAATAAAAGAGAAGGAATCAAATTGGTTAGCTAGGTAATCTGTGGATTGACTAGTGGTTAGAGATCATCATAAACTCATACTTTAGATGATTTATTTAACAAAAAGTCTGTAGTGTTGAATCTCCATTGTGTACAAAAAACCACTAGACCAGTGAAAGTTATATATAGAATTACGAACCGAATTAGTCTATGTCTCAGCAGCATGCTGGTGTCTCCTTGGTGGGAAAAAATAAAATTGGTTAGCTAGCTTAGCATTGCAACTAATAGTATTAATATCTAATCTCTTTCTGTTTTGACGGTCAACAACAATAGTACGTAACTCGTAGTTTTCAGCGTTTCACTAAGAATTCTTTGCATTATTTTATGCCTCCCTTCATTGCTCTCAAGGAAGAGAAGCCAAAAACGATAACATGGTTAAGACAGAAGATAAAACAACAATAACAATAGGGAGAACATGCACGACTCGTGGTGTTCGATATTCCTTTCGTTCGATCAAGAAGTGGGTCCCCCACTCACAACATCATCATCAATCTCTCACAAGTGCTAGCTACACTCTAACTCATCCCCCAAACCTTCAAGTTTGATACATGCTATCTCACAAGCTCATCAGAAACGAAACGAGTTCATTGGTTACTCGTGAATTGGCTCAACCCCATTGGCGAGCCCATGGAAGCAAACTTCGCAAGTTCTTGGGGTAGGAACTGAGGGCCAGCTCCTCCTCCTCCTCCACTCACGCCGAGAAAATCCCTTGTCAAATTATGCTCCACGGCGTTAGAATGAAGCTTCAGTTTCACTGGCTCGCTTTGTAACTGCCCATTGGTCTGCATCACGAGTTGGTCAAAACTGTTTGATGAATGCGTCAAAGAGCTATAGTCAGTTCCAGCAGTAGTAGCAGCTGCATTATTATTGCTTCCCAGCATCACGGCGTTGTTGTTATTGAGAGTGGTAGTTTGCGAGGAAGGTGAGTTCACCGCTCCAAAACTACCACTGAAAATGGAAGGGTTGGTGCTTCTGGTGGAACCCATCTGAGCTGCTTTCTGCAGAAGCGCAGTGGCTGACATGGGTGAAGCAGGCTTTGATTGCTTGTTTTGACCCTCACAATTATAAATAGTCGCCAAGTCCACCACTGTTTCTCCTCTTTTCCCAATAGGTAGTGACGAAAGAGAAAGATTTGCAGCACTGGTTGAATTAGAACCCACAGGCACTCCAAAATTGGACACCATCGATGATGAACCCATCAAGGCATTGGCCTGAGCCATTTGCACAATCTCAGGCAACCCTGAAGAGCATGATGACATGTAATTGGGCCCCACATCGGGAGCACCGTTGTTACTAATATTATTATTGTTATTCATATGGGGATTCCCCTGGTTCAACCATAGTGACAAACTTGGCCTTTGTTGTTGCTCCATTCCATTAAAATCCAAACGAAAACCATGTGGACCAAATTGAGGAATGCCACCTACGTTTTGAAGACCCTGCGCTGCAATTAAACCATGCCCCAAACCGTGCTGCGAGTTCATCACATTACTGCCCTCTTCACTCTTGAAATTTAGATTTGTTGTGGTAACTGAGGTGAGCCTCGCACTCTCTTCAGCCAAAGCATCGCAAAATGCTCTATGAGTAATGAAGCTGTCCTTCCTGTTCAAGTGTTCGAAATATCCAAAGAAACCCCATTAATTACCTCATCTCATCGATCCTTCAAAATATACATAAATTCAGGAAGCATTAAATTCTAAACTTAATGCCACGCACCAATGATAAAACCTCGGACATGTTACCTATATAAACATGCATTTATTTCATCTAGACACGCACATATATATGTGTGTATGTATTAATTAATTACCTGGAGAAGAGGGTGCCACAGTCGCATTTGTATTCTCTAGTGCCACAGGTTTTGGTGTGTGCTTTCCAATCTGATTGGACTGCGTATTTCTTGGAGCACTTTTCACACTTCCACTTCTTCTCGCCGTGCTTTCTGCTGAAGTGCTTTTTGATGCCAGTGAGGTCGCCGAGTGCCCTTGAAGGGTCGTGGTGGACGCAGGTTTGTTCAGGGCAGATATAAACCTTCTTCCTTACCTCTTTGTTGGACCTTTGGCGTAGCTTCCACGGAAGGTTGTGACCCCTTCGGTGGAGCTGAAGGTTTTGGTCTCTCTGGAACCCTTTGTTGCATATTTCGCATATGAAACGGTTCGTGGCCATGAGGGTCTTCGGGGAGAGAGCGATGACCTCGGCATCTGGATCTGTAATGAAAATTTTCAAAACACGTTTGAAAGGAGTGAATTAATATAATAGTGTCATGTGAAGTGCTTTGATCAATGAGTGAAGAAGATGATGGTGATGACCTGGTGTGCCTGGAAGGTTTCTCTTCTTCTTGGGAGGGGGGTTAGGTTTAGGGTTAGGGTTTGTGTTTTGCTCTTGATTGAAGGCTCCGATGGAAGTGGATAGGGAAAAGGGGTCACCGGGCATCATTTGCATATTAGAAAAAAGGGGAAAAGTGAAGTTTTAGGCTATATTGGAAAGGGTGGCAAAGCAGTGAGCAGAAGCAAACAGCGAAGTTTCAAAGGTTTCAGACAGTACAAGGAAGAAAACAATGGTTTTGGAGTAGCAAAAGCCAAGAAACGAACATAAATTCTTTTGGAGGGTACCCAAATTCTTTAAAGAGAGTGGATGGCTTTATATATATCGTTCTGCCAAAAGACAAGAAAAAGCCATAAACGAAAACTTGAATCGAACCAAAAATATTTAAAGCCTGAAAAAGAAACTATATTATACTAATGCATAGGCATGAGCTTCCAACTGGTGCTGATCTGGTTTCTAGCTCGTTTGTTTGATTTCATTTCTTTGAAGATAAAACCAAAAGCCCATATAAACCATAAGATGGCTGTAGATAACACTTCACCTCTTTTATCTCTCTTCTCTCTCTCTCTCTTGCTGTCTTTGGTCTTGAGACTAGTCTCTTTCTCATCTTATTTACTTGTATCCTCAAAGACGGTGAGCCATATGTTAGATGGGCCACCACACGCACATTACACACTCTCTCTCTCCCTCTCACACAGTCACACACAGGGACATACAAAAACAGACACAAACCACACGCACAATCGTGGGATAGTGTGTCTTGTGTTTGAGGGAGGTTTCTTTTGCCTTTTTGCCTAGTAAACCAGAAATTTGAATGTGAGGAAGTAGGAGGGTTGTGTCTTTGTAGTAGAGCACAAACTCCAATTGTTTGCTTTAAAAGCCGAAAATATTTTGAAAAGGCCTTCCAAGTACTATTAGCTTTTCGTTGAAGTGAATAAAAAAATAAATATATATTGTGATGAACATCTCGAGAGGCAAATAGTACGACTACAACCACTGCTAGTAGCAGTAGACTAATAGATATAGTTGGGAGGGTTGTTTGTTGACTGCTTGTGTTGTTGTGCATGCAGTAGATATAGGAAATCAAGGTTAAAAAATAAAAATGTTGCTAGCGGTTCTTGAGAACGAGCGAGGGGTAACAGAAAAAAAAGTGGTTTACCTTTATTAGAGGCTTTATCAGGTGTAGAATGATTAAGCCATAATTACAGAGATGAAGAGCACCCTTTTTTAGCATGCGAGAGATTAAATCAGATCAGAGGGTCAGAGAGTGATTCACGTTCACGTTCACATTCATATTCACATTCACTCACATAGACAACACGGACACTGATGAGATTGTAGTATCTGTATGTGAGAGAGTGTTTGGTTTGGTTTCACATGTGGGGTCCACTACAATATAGTGGGCCTGTGGGGGAGGGTTCTCTTTTCCCAATGCAAGGTGATAGGACCGTCCGTGATACCTCTGTCTCTGTCAGTGTGGGACCCAAAGATTGGACCGTGGGGGACCCTTCATGCACCGTCCAATTCCAAAAAGTGCGAGTGATCAATACTTGTGCATTATGTTTCATCACAAGAGTTTATTGCTTATGACTTCAATTTTTTATTTTTTAATTATGGTATTCAATACGAAATATCTCTATTATTATTGCTACTAGTCATTAATCTCTGTTAGAAATTATAAGTATATACAAGATTATTTATATAACAATGAAGAACATATTACTCATTGCTCATAGTTGTAGATAAGTCAGATCGAATCCATATGTATTTACAATTAATACGTGATTGATGATGAGTGATGAGTAAGTATTATTTTTAACATTGATTTTGAAATTATTGTGTGAACTTGTATCATAATTATTAGACTAAGAGACATAATTTAAGTAAGACTAAGAGTACACTACTTACATATATAGATTGAGTTGTTACTCGTTGACGTTGGTACGTACGAGTATACGCGTACGTATTTACGTTAGAATGGCACGAACATGTCTGGGAATGTGAACGTGTTGGTTTGGTCATCACGACGACGATGTTACCTCATAAAGGCTTAGGTTTGATGGGCTGGCCCTGCCTAGTTTGTTGCTCGCAGCAGTATCCTTGATGTGATCGCCAAAGTTTGTTTGGTGAGTGAGATCAACTCTGTTATTTCTTCGTTTCAAAAGCTGTTAGACTTGTTTCTTTCACAATAAATCATGTTTTATTGTGAACTGTTGTGTGTTGTAGAGAAAAGGACCCCACGAGAAATTCGCCCAAGAATAACTGAAATTGATGTTTTATGGATGGATAAAGATTTATTACCTAATACACTAAATCGTTGATTAATTGTAGAAGAAGGTTAACAACTAACAAGTCCAACATAATTAGACTTTTTAAATAGGTAGATTATGATTTATTTTTTAGTCTTTTATACAATTTTTGTTGTTGAAAGAAATAAAACAATATACAATAGTTACTGTTCTCCAAAGATATTGGTCTTCAATTATCAACTAAATGCATGATTAATGAACCAACCAAATTTAAACCATTTCATTCCATACTGTTAAAGAAATTTGACTCTTGACTAATAAAGTTTAAAAATTTAATTAGCACACATTGTTACACTATTACCTAATCATAGATGGACATCCATAATAATAAATTTCTCGACTTTTTGAAATAGTTATTTCAAAGGTTACGTATAAGGTAAAATCTATTTTATTGATGATGTAAAAATCTTTACACTTACATATATGAGAATTAAACCCTTAAATTAAATATATACAGTTACACACACTTCAAATTAATTTTAAAAACAAAAACATAGTGAAAATACTTAACATGTTCTAATATATTTAAAATATAAATACATAATAAAAATTTATAATCACAACTTCAAAACATATATGTTTAATAATAACCATTATTAATAGAATATGTCATAACCATTATTATAAGCTTACAATGTATAATACAAGTATGTCCAATAAATCAAAATTGTGTTCAATTTGAAATTTCTAATTTTCCATAAAATAAATTTGAAATTTATCCATTTCTTATGTTAATCTACTTGTGGTTGTGGAGCAAGCTGATCTAATCTATACTTAACAATTATGGCTTAAAAGAATATAAATTATATGGGGAAACCAAAAAAGAGAGTATAAATTGTACAAGTAATATTCCTAACCAAACGCAAACTCAAGGACAGATCTGAGGATTACTTGAGAGACAAAGACACCTCACCTTACAGTCACACTACCATAATTAATGAGATAATTACTTGATGATGACCGAGGCAAGACAATCATTTAACAATCTCTTTCTTTTGTTGGATAAAATTCTTATAATTGATCCAATTCAAAATAAGTAGATACCCTATATTTCTAACTACACTATATCTAATAATTATCACACCTTCAACATTTTTGAAAAAAAAAAAAAAAAAGTCATCCAGAAATCGATCGTACCAATGCACTACACGCACATGCACACACAGTTGCACAATCCCTCAATTCATACTCCTTTTCTATTTCAGATGAACAATAACTATTTAAGGAAGCCAATAATCTGCAGGTTATATATGTAATATTAGCCCAGTTCCTGCTCTACCATATGTAGTCCACGTGATTAAAGATTACTGAGTTTTGAAAAATTATATATTCCGATTCCTCGTCATAACTCCTTCTGTCTATTTCCAACAACCCTACATGTCTCGTGTGAGAACAAATATTGCCATCACAAGTAACAATGTTGGCCTTTTTCATTTCCATCTCAACTAAACCACAACCACTAAGGTTAATATGAGGATCACTGTTCCATATAGAGGGCACCGACTGTCTCAGAGAGATGCTCATTTTCTTCTCTAAATGGTTTTTTAGAGCCTTTGTACACGCATCATGATGGTCCATGTAAGCATAGACTAGTTGACTTTCACTTCAAAGGGTTAGATAGGGAGAGGGTGAAGAACCTTTACGTTTCCTAAGTAATTAATTATGCACTTAATAGGAGGACCATCCTACGTTATTCATACTCCTTTTTGAATCCATATGCATATAGTGGAAGAATAAGATCACATATATAGCTTAGCCTGTTAAAAGTAAAATGCTTAGATTGGAAAAATCCCTTTCTTAGGGCCATCATATCCAACAGCCATAGTTAATTAGATTTCTAAGCTCTTACCTCATTTGGTCTCAGCATTTAAAATATGGTAGTTAATGGTTTACAAACAGATGGGCCACTCCAATTTGCGTCTCCTCCTTCCACAATTATTTTGCGTGCACATATAACTAGAAATTAATTCCTCAATCAACATATTTCTTAATTAAGACTTTTTTCATACAAATAGTCACAAAACAAATCCTAAGTAACATAATTAAGAGTCTCAATTATCTATTATTGAAATTATTAGAAATTTCACATCAACTAAAAATAAAATTATAATAATGTATATAATTAAGAAGTAATATTTACCTTCAAAACCTATTTTCTAAGATTAAATTATGTCTAAATTTCATTTTGATGATATTATAGTTTATATATATCTTAATAAATATTATTAATCAATTGTTGTTGGACATATTGTGTAATTCACTATTAAAATAGTAATAAGATCATAATAATGCATATAAGTAAAGAATAATATTTATTGAATTTCACATTTATAATAGAAATGTCATTGATTTTAATTCCAAATTTAGTATAATATATTTGAAGCCAGATTATCTCCTTTAGATAATTTGTCTTAATGAAGAAAGGATTTCACTTTCTCAATTTCAACTTTGGCGTATTAAAGATTTACTAAGTGATTAAGATTGCATCATGGGCTAGCTAGTGTAATTGGTAAGGAAGAGAATTAGGTGGAAACTAGCTAGCAATCAAACCAAGAATTAGTAATGAAATAGAAAGATTAATTAGAGAATAGACTATAGTAGAAGGTGTGGGGGCCAAGGTTTTGACAATATTGTATTGAGGAACTGAATGAGCAGGATCGGCGCCAAGGGGTTACATCTTTTGAATTTTCACATTATTATAAATTGATGGAAATATAATAATTGAATTATAATAATTTGGGGAAAACGTAATGTGTTGTGTTATAAAAATATGAGACAACTCAACTGCTTTTGGCTTCTTGCATTCGGAGCTTCCCTTCCAATCTATATTATTTGTTTAATTTCCTCATCCTCATTTTGGTATCCTATGATCAATTCCCCCATAGTCACTCAGAAGCCCACGTGGACAGACATTCAAAGCCCCATGTGATAATTAATAATTTAATAATTAGAAAATATATACCAGAGAGACAGTGAAAAATTTTACTCATTTAAAATAAACATGCACGACCATGAAAAAGTATAGTGTCTTGTTCTTATTTCTTTAGTTTCAGTACAAGTGGTAGTATTTTTATTTACAAATTAATTAGTTTTATATGTGGATTAACAAGATCTCTAATTTGATTTGCATGTAGGTCCAATTAAAGGAATGAAACTCACAGGTATTATATAAAAATACATATATTATGTCCATTCAGATAACGACATCCCTCACATACATCCATTCCATGGATTTCCCATCTTCCCTATAGAGATCGACGGCCCCATATATCATTCTTGCTTATAAATTATAATCTCTTTCGGTGTATGCATGCTTAATTGGTCTTCGCTTGCAAATTTTAAACAGATATTCTGTTGTTGATTTCTAAATTAAATTATTATGATTTATTATCCATAAACGCGTTTTAGTGCTAGATTTTCAAAGCCTCTAATGATTTCTTACGTGTTGGTATATATATATTTGCTGAAGGTAGAAATCATAAATATATGGAAAAATGTGCATATGCATTACCAAGCATTAATATTTCGCAAGTGGATCTACTTTCTTGATTAGAAATCGATTAAATATATCAAAGCCAAAATCTTTATTTTATATATAGTAACATTTTAGTATTTTAGTACCCGTTTTGTTAGCATGAGTTAATATGGCTGGTTTAACCTAGCAAAACAGTGTAACACAAAGTTGTAATTAAGTATTTGGCTAAGGTATAATTAAAAACTCTCACTAATTAAGAATGGGAATTAATTTGACTTGTGAGGAGGCGGCTAGAGTTAGTTTGGATAAGGTTTAGGGCTCTTTAAAAATGATTTAGCTCCTC